TTTTTAATATATATTATGCACAGATTAAAAAAATAATTAAAAAAATAGTCACATCAATATGGGCAGAAATAAGTCATGGTTTTTGTGGAAATTAGAAGACTTTTGAACAATTGTTCTTTCATTGATCTCATAAATGGTTAAGTTGAAGAAAACAAAGAGAGATGCAGAGAAAAGGCAGAGGTTTCCATCACCTAAGAAAATTCAAGCGTGCGCCATGCGCCAGAGAAAGTAAGAGCCAAAATTCCTTACCGAATACCAACCGCTGATGACTAATCTGCCATTTCTTTGGTGGACGCTTACACTTTCCTCTTAAACAATTAATTAATTGCATTAAAATATTTATAAATTTATTTTATAGTTTGAACTATAACTAATTACAAAATAAGATTTTTCTAACATATAAAAGCATACATACATATAATTATTACACTTTTTTATATTAATTATTATTAAAAAAGTAAAAATTAATTTTTATTTAAGTAACCATTGAATTAAAATGGTATATGTGGCATTAATGATGAAATGGATGATAATTTTTATATTTTTTAATAATAATTAATGTAAAAATAGTGTAATAGTTACACTTTTAACCTATATATATCCTTAATATACAAATTAGACAAATCTTATAAAATAATTATCCTTAAATTGAAGAAGGTCCCTTGATATTAATTCCTCCTCCTCTAATTCAAGGACTGTAACTTTATAGTTCAATTCAATTTAGAGGGTAAAATAAAAAATTCTTAAAATGTTCAATCTAAATGCTAGTGATTCAGCCAATGAAGGACCCAACCAAAAAAAAAAGAGAAAATTTTCTAATTTTCTTCCTTCCGGGCTCTTATTATATATTTATTTATTATTTATTTATCTTGGATTTTCAATAAGATTCCAAAGCTCTTTTTTTTTTTATTTAAATGAGATTATTGTCGAAACTATTTAACTTATTAGTAGTAAAATCTAAAATTAATTTAACACAAATAAATTTAATTGAAAAAAAAAGGGATGAACTTTTGAAGTGAATAATTAACTTATTGAAGTATAGCCAAAAGAGTAAGTATAAACAGACAATCTAATTATAGAACTTTTATTTATAATTTTTATATGTCATTAAATAAGTGGATATATATAATATTATTACCTTTAATAGAATAAAAAAATTAATCATTAAATGACATATAAAGTTGTAAAAAAAAATTATAAGAAAATGATTTTGGGATAACTTTTTTGTACCACTTTTTGGTATAATATGATATATTATTTAGATAATTAATTCTTTTTATTCATGTGATATCCGTAATATTGAATGTATCCACTCATTTAATAACATATGAAAATTGTATCAAAAAATATGATAAAAAAGTTATCTCTGTAACACCGCTTAAAGTTATGTGATAAAAATTGTATCTTAATCATTTTTTTAAAACTAAAACCTAAATTGAGGATGCAAACTTTTACCTAATTTAGAATTTAGAATATAAAACTTTGATAGTTTTGAAATAAGAACAAAATCTTTGCATTAATTGGTAGTAATGATAATTTGGACTGACAATTGTCATGCAACCCCATATAAAACACAATTAAAACCTTATTTCATATCACATAATTGTTAAAATGCCAATTGAAAGAGTGGATTTTTACTTACACACAACACTTGTATAAAATTTTGGTAATTCATTTTTTTATTATGAATAGTTGAGATTTATCTATTTTTTATTATTTTTTTAAATGATTATCATTTTATTATAAATCTCAATCATTTATATAATAAAGAGATGAATTATTAAAATTTTATATAAATAATATATATAACAGTTGTCTATAAGTGAATTCTAGCCTACTAAAAAATAATTCTATTGAAAGGAAGCCAATTTTAACTTCTCATTACAGTTTTCCACTCAAATTATCCTTATTTCTAATTAATGTAAACATTGTATCCTTTTCCACTCAACTAATGTATACAAGAATATATATATATATATATATATATATGGGGTTAATACCTATCCATCTTACCTTTTAAAGATTTGGAGAAAAATTATTTTAAAACTATGTCATTTCAATAAACATCTATTTAAAAAAAACTAAAATACCCTATTTATTTTTGTTTTTCCCTTTAATGCTTTATTGAAATAACATAATTTTAGAATAATTTTCCTCTTAATATTTAAACGGTAAGACGAATAAACACTAATTTCATATATATATATATATATTATATAAGAGGGAATTCACAGAAAGTATACCTTAAATTTTGTGTTAACTAAATGATAAATCCATGGAAGCTCAGAAGACTGCAGGCTGACTCTGCCTAAACTTATGCTACGAACATGTCCTCACAAGCTGTGGTGTCCACTTCCAAGCTAACCAACCACCTTCACGTCTAAAATCCAGAATTCTCCTCTTACTTTTAGTTTTGTTGTCGCTCAAGGTTTCTATAGATTGCAAGCTCTTCAATGGCAGTTCAGGACCTCCAGATGCTGGTGATGCCTCCACAATCTTGTTCAGCATTTCCAACACCTCACTCATTTTTGGACGTGTCTTTGGGTTTCTGACCAAGCACCGGTTGGCCACACTAGCAAGCCTTTTGGCTGACTTGAGGGGGTACTTCCCTTCAAGTCTTGGGTCCAGTATGCGATGGAATTTCTTCACATCTGATAAGTGAGGCTTCACCCAGTCCAATAGTTCCTGCTCACTTTTGGGGCGGTTTCGATCTATAGGGCGCCTACCTGTGATGAGTTCATAGAGAAATACACCGTAGCTCCATACATCACTCTTGGATGTGAGACGTCCTGTTTGAACATATTCAGGAGCTGCATATCCCATTGTTCCAACAACCTGTTGAAAATAACTAGCTTATGAGTGTTAAGATACATACAGATGAATAAAGAAATAATCCTACAACATGAGGCTGAAATTTTTAACAGCAGAAGCTACTTGGAAACACCCAAAAAGCCACCCTGATGTCTAATGAAATTAACATATTCAGTTTTCATGAAAACATTTAAGGGCAACTTTAGACATAAGTGTTTGAAACAGTCATGTTTGTTTTCCACATATTCTGAAGGCAGAATCCAGTATTTGAAACAGATTAATTATGTTGAAATGCATCCCTGACCACATGGAACTTTAAAAGGTTGAAGAAAAAGCAGGTATCTCCAGAAGACCGCTGGTTTTATGTCAAGACATGTAAGTGAAAGCAAACAAATCTGTTTTAATACCACCATAAGACTAAAGCAGGAAAAACTGATTTTCTATGTCATTTGAACACCAATTTTAGTATTTCGATCATAAGAATTGGTCTATTTTTGGAGTATTTCATATTGAAGATCTATCTAGATATGATGTGTGTATTCCACATCCATGACAACGTTGCTTTCGGTTAAAATGCTAAACCCAAGAACTGACTAATGGGATATGCATAAAGTAACAGAAATGGTCATTTTCTTTGAGCTTACCGCAGTTGAGATATGTGTTAATCCTTCTGGAGGACCCAACCTAGCCAATCCAAAGTCTGATAGCTTTGCATTCCAATTCTCATCTAGAAGAATATTAGAAGACTTGAAATCCCTAAAGATGATCTATCATAAACAAAACAAGGAAAACCTAAATTAGCATTCTCTCCTCATAAGGGGATTCAAATTTCAAAACGGAGCAGCAAAGCTTAAAAGCCAACTCTTTGGAAATTTCCAAGTGCACTGAAAAATCACTATGATACATTGAAATGGAAGGTCATTGGCATTATACCTGAAATTCCATTTTTTCATGCAGGTGCATTAAACCACGAGCAGCATCTTGGGCTATTCTCAATCTCATTGCCCATGAAAGAGTTGTTTCAGACCGAGCACATAAATGGCTTTCCACACTTCTATTGGGCATATATTCATATATCAAAAGCCGTTGCATTCCTCTTTCATCATCTTCAGCACAATAACCAACTAACTTTACAAGGTTTGGATGCTCAACCACCCCAAGAACATTTACTTCTGTCACCCATTCCTTGTGTCCCTGTCAAGTATCAACCAATATGAGGGATCTTAAGTTTAGAAAAGGAAGAATCTTATTTCTCTTACGATAAAGGGACTGGAACAATAAACAGATTGGAGGGAAACCTGGAGACCTAATTCTGCTGAATACCCTAAAGAATGAATATGCATATGAACTCAAAATATCTTATTTACCCAGAAAATTAATTCATAAGATTGAGGAATATTACTTCAATTATTTCTCAAAATAATTTCTTATAATGTTTTTGAACAATGATTGAGATAAAGACAGTTATTTTGTTAATCTAACCTGCAACCCTCTTTTGCCTAGCTGTTTAACTGCTACCTCAATCTTTTGAGATGGATCCTCCAAACTCTTGATGAAGCCTCTATAAACACACCCAAATCCACCCTCTCCAATCATGAATGACCGGTTAAAATTCTTGGTGGCTGATTTGAGTTCAGGAATGGCGAACTCTCTGAGATTGTTGGGTCTTTGACTCACGCTGGAAAAAGAGATCCTCCTCTCCATGGACTCAGCACTGGCACCAGAGACACTCTGAGAATTCAATTCAGATCCCAATCGACCAATTTCACGATCAGTAAAGGTAGAATTAGCAGATAGAGCTGAAGCTGATTTGGGGGTCTTTGCTTCTTCTTTCTTGTCGCCATTGCTCAATGTGAAACACTTCATAACCCCCAATAAATCAACACAAAAATTCCCCAGTTTGCAGATTCAGATGCCAATGAAGAAAGAAGCTCTGGTTATATTTTGAAGAACCAACCAAAAACTAACGAAGACCTGCAAAGTCAAGAAGTACACGTATGCTGACCATGACTAAATGATTCAAAGAAAGCTGATATCCACAACCAAATAAAGCAAATGAATTGATGACCTTCAGTTCCTAGAAATTCATCAAATTTGTTGTTTATGAACCACAATCTTAAAAAAATGGAAGGAATGAATAGAAAATGGGATCTACTCATAATTGCTAAATTGCTAGCTCAAGGCAGTTTCAACTTCATCGATTTTTCTTTTCTACAGTTAGAAGTTGCAATTTTCTGAGCAAATTGAGTTCAAGGCACTGCCCTTTTGGATTTGCAATTGACAAGTGAATAGGGTACGGTACAACTTTTTGCATCCTAACTTTCTTCAAAAATCATTATCAAAAAATTTGAAAATTAACAGTGGAAAGCAAAACAAACAACACTTAAGCTGGGAAAACTCACCTCAAAATCCAATCTTCTTTTCTGGGTATGGAGAGAAACTGCCCCAATTCAAGGAATTTTAAGATAGACCCGTTAGTTAGTCCAATGCCCTCAGAGGACCTCAAAACCTAGGGGTAGGGGAAGAACAGTATCTTATTCAAAGTCTATGAGAAACATGGCAGGTGCGGACAGGGATAAATTTATGTTTCGTAGACAACCTTCTTCTACCATGTATCTTGGACAAATTTACTCTAGTATGAACGGGTATTTGAAAATAGTGGAACAAAAGACAAAGGAGAAGAAAGTTCTAACCTTTATGAGGGGAGAAAAGTCGTCGCCCGTGGCTGGAGGCATGGTGGCTGGTATAATCTCAGTCAAGCTGGTCTCTAATCTCCACCAATTTGCATAAGCTTTACGTATAATCCCATTTTAATTGTTGACGTAGATGATGTAGTTCAGAAGTCTACTTGTATTTCTGCTTGATTGGTTCTCAAGAAAAAAATGTCATCTTTCCTTGGAAAGTTCGGTGGGCAAGTGGCCCAAACTATGTATACTATTCATTAGGATGAATTGAGTGGTGATGGGAAATCGTTGATCAACAGCGTTAAAAGGGCAATTTCATCTGGAATTCTGAAGCATGTTAACCGTTCGATGAAATTCCTGAAGGATCCATTGGTGTTAAAGTTACGTGCACGGAAGCAGCGTACACATGCATAATTGCACGGTTGTTGGGCTTCAATGCAGGGACCCATTTGGTCCCGCCAATTCTTCATCCCAAAAAATGAACTTTCTTCCTATCCAAAGAAATTCACTCAACCCCATTTGACCAAAAAAGAACCTTTTGTTTCCTAATCGTCTTCCACTCAACATCCTGCCACCTCCATTATTGTTCTTTCTTGTTCTGCAATACAATTCATGACATTCCATTAGCATATCAATCAATTTCCACACTACTGTGAAAATGGATAAAACCAAGGTTCTAGTGATCATTCTGTGGTTATCCCCCCTGCACCTGTGTAAATCCAGACGTTCAGAATTCAAGTGTAATTCATTATTGGATGTTTTCCGTAGGATCTTGTGAGTGCGAAGAACTAAGATCTCACATCAAAGAAATATAAAAGAAAATAGTGGTTTAAATTTGTGAAGACCCATAAACTAGTAAGTTAGTTTTTTGGTTTCGTGTCAAAATATGTAATGGTCCTCTCAATGTCACGCGCAATCAGTGGTAATTTCAGTTATACCCATGGATGATATTGTGCTACCAATGGTAAAGAAATATAAAAGGAAATAGTGGGTTAAATATGTGAAGACACATCTTAAGGTGACCAAAATGAGACCAGTGAGAATACATGTTTGTTGAGTACCTCAGGCTTGGCTGTGTCTCATTGTCATTTTAGGTTTGTTGCCATTGGCACGGGGTGTTGAGGGAGATGATTACTGTCAAACAAACAACCCTGTCTATCTTCCTCTGTAACTAAGCTAATAGACAACCTGCTTTCAGATCTCACTGCAACATTAAGCGGTGACATCAAAAGTAGTCTGGGCTCCTGCATAAAAGGATGTGTGCATAATTCACAATCTTCTGTAGTCTTGCCTCTTTAATTATTAACTTATACTTTCTCTAAATTTCCTTGTCTTTCAGGGATGCTGATTGGAATGGAGCATTTAATTTCACAAGTGACTTGAATTTTTTTACTAATTTTGTCAAGAAGACAAAAGGTATGAATTTTAGCAAATACAAGAATGTGTTATATTCCTTTTAAGCATTAACATTCTGTTGTCAATAGTGTTCCAGATTGCTTGCTTTTATATTACTGAAATATTTTCTTTATCTTCCACAGCGGTTTATAAGATGATGCAATGTAGTAAGCTTCAAATGAAACAGGACAAAAGGGTCATCAAGTTAATAGGCTAAGCCATTAAATGGTGTTTACCATGATGTAGTTTACTGTTTGAGTTGTTTTCCTTCTATTCTTATAAATCATGAACAATCTATTCATGTTTCTAACCATGTTCCCGACATTGATGCAATCTAATTGTCAGGTGATCTCACACAGCGACTGTGTACAGCAGCAGAAATAAAATTCTACTTCAATAGCTTTTTTGAAAGGGGGCAAAAGTACTCATTACTTAAAACCTAACAAGAACTGCAATTTGACATCATGGATTTCTGGATGTGAACCTGGATGGGGTTGTTGTGAACTGACCAAAACCAGGAGGCTGAACTCAAAAACATAACATACATTCGTTTTAAGACTCGTGGTTGTCAACCTCATTGTGAAGGATTCTTTTGCCCTACGGGTCTAACTTGCATGATAAGTGAGTAAATATCATAGTCCACTTATTGTTTTTAGGATCTGCATATGTAATCAATTTGCATTTCACATAATTGGCGCCGCTCTTTCTCTTACCATTCGGACAGCTTGATTTCTCATTTAACTGGTAGTATATTCATCCACATGGGTACATACATTGTTGAATTTGACTCATACTTGAAGTTACAAAACACAGAGGATCATGCTCTATTCATTTTTTTCTTTTCTAAAGCAAGAAGCTCATCGGCGTTATTTAGCAAAAGTGATGATGTTATTTAGCAATCTTTAGAGGAATAACTGCTTTTGTGCATTCTCATGGGCGCCATCTGTTTGCCAATGACCTAATGTCAATATTAATGAATCTGTGTGTGCTGAATGGAAACCTAAAGAAAGTTTGCATGAATCCTACTCAGGTGTCTCAATCAAGTTTGCATCAAGGTGTTTAGGACCTCTTTCTAAAGTGAGGGATGAAACATTTGGGGTTCTTGGCTACACATATACGGTCATTGCTGTTTGTAAGTAGAAAAGACATTCTTTGTTGATGTGTTTCACTGTTCTTTTCCTTTCTCATTGTAAACAAATTAATTTGATTGCTCATTTGCAGCACTTCTATGCAAGATTTCGGCTTTAAGATCGTTTTCTCTGAGCAAATACACTACTGGAGAAAGAGTGCAGACTGCAGCTGGGATTAGCAGTTTTGCCTTATTTTCTATCTAAAGACTGTTGACCTTTTCAATATTTTGGTCAAACCAGTGTTCTATTTATCCATGTTCTATTTCTTCAGCAATCCTAGATCAATCTTTCAAGACAATTATGTTATTTTGCTCTGCCTAGTGTATGCAATAACTGGCATAGCTAACATATTTGCCATCCTTCTGGTACCCAGTCCTGCCTCAAACCAGCAACTCCCATACATGTTATTGCTCAACTTATAATAACATTAGCTCAATTCTCTTTATTTTTTCTACTCCAACACGCTAACTGTTGTTTCTTTCTTCTTCGGTGGTCACTGCTGGCTCCTGTTGTCTTGACTCTGCCTCGAATTGCAAACCAGGACAAAGACAGTTTAATCATGAAGCACCTTGGAAACTACTGCTTAATTTGTTATTGCAAATGCTAAAAGGTCTGTTACTCTATCTCCTTTTCCCTTTCATCTTGGTACTAATTTACATCATGCATTTTACTCTAAAGCCTTCACTTAGCACATAATCACCAGCTTAATCATTAGCTAGCCACCCTTCATAACCTTTCATTCTGCTTCTGTTCCTCAGGTACCCTGGAGTGCAGCTGATAACGCGTTGTAGTTAATTAATAGAAAGTGGGTAGTACAATCTTAAAGACTGGAATCTTTGTCCAGTAATCCTCGTTATAAACGGCATTGTTAGTCACATCATTGCCTACTTTGCTTTGATGACAGTCCAAAAGGGGTTGAGTCACGAGACACCATTTTTGTTAGATTTCTTGGCGTACATTTCAGTTAAGTCTCTGCAGCCTTCTGTGTCCCTTATCTAACTCGCACTTAGACGGACATGTTAAGTGGAAAAAAATTTATATTAAAAAATATAAAAAATATATAAATTTAATAAAATAAAAATTATTATATTTATTATCATTTTTTTTAACAGGGGGTAATGTGAGGGAAGAAAAGGGGCTCTACATTGTAATTTTAAAATTTGATCGAAATTATGAGTTTAAGTGCATTCGATTAAAACAATTAAAATTACGGGTGTATTATATTTATTATCAATTAATTTTAAATTATTATTAAAATCTAATTTTCGCAGAACCACCAACGACCACTCAAAAGTGAACAAAATGATAGAGTTAGGTAAGAAAGAAAGGCGAAACCAGAAAAGTAAATTTACTGTTCAATCTTATCTATCCGTTTGGGTGTCGGTGGCATGAACCAAGGCAACCAACCATGCCCTATTACCTCAAGGTTGAACCACCAAGGTCAATCGGTCTTCTTTTTTACATGCAATTTTTCATCAATCATCAGCATACCATCGTTATCACTGCAGGCAATCAGTGAGTTGTCGACGGTGCTCATTAGTCATTATTGTAATGCTTGACTAAATTATAGGTTCCTTTCCATCACGTTCTACCTTATTATTTTCTTTTGTAATCTATAAGCTTTATTTTCTCCGACTCAAGTTTGTGTATGCTCGAAGATACATAACCCAAAAAGTCAATTCACCTTTTCTTTTTTATGTTTTTCCACAATGGCCATCCATAGAAACGAAGACCATCCACCGAGATTTCCCATTAATACTTTTAAGTTGTGTAATTTATATACAATAGACAATAAATTTAGAATTAATTCAAATTGAATTAACAAAGTTATTTAAAAGTTATAAAGGTTTTTATTGAAAATTTTAATATATAAAAATTATATTAAATTTTAATTAATTTAATATTAAATTACATTAGATCTAAAAAAAATTATCTTTTCGTATTTATTACTTTATTCATAAAATTTAAACTTTAAATTTTATTCATAATTTTTTTTTTATTTTGGTTACGTAAAAAGATGTAACTATCTTTTATCTTTTATCATATTTCACTCGTATACTATACGATTCGAATTTAAAATTTTTATTTTTAATAAAACTATATAAATATTAAATTATTTAGGTGATTAGTCTTTCTTCATAAAATTTAAATATAAATTAAATTTTGTAAATAAAATAATAAATTTTTTTTATTTAAATCAATAAATTATTATTAACTATAGAGGTTATTTGTGTAAACTTGAGAATAGCTCCTGCCAAACGAGCCATCTGGATTAAGCTATTTCATCGTGTAGGTGTAGGGTACGTCCAAAATCACCAAAAAATAATAATAATAATAATAATAATAATCCATAAGGCAGATCAGTGCGCCATACACTTTCGATTGCTCACGACTCACGAGGCGTTTCGCCAAACAAGGCCCTACCGTCTCAAGTATGTTTTGAAATTGCTGTGAGAAAAATTTTCTTTATAGATATATAATATTTTTAGATGAATATTTATTTAATAATTTTTTAAAAATTAAAATATTATAAAAATTTATAATAAATTTATAATAATTTTATATATAAAATTAAAATTTTTACATATAATTTTTATAAATAATATTTAATATAATTATAATATTATTTATTAAAATCAAATGTAATTTAATTTAATTATATCATAATTTATTATATTTTATTTAAATTAAACATTTTATTTATTTAAAAATTTTATAAAAAATTAAAAACTTATTTTTTTCGATGAATTGCACTCTTGCAAAAACTCAAGCACAAACTCAAGCACACCATTATAAAAAAACTTAAATTATTAAAAAATAACAAATATCTTAATTTTAGTAATTATATATCATATAATATTTTTTTAAAATTAATTAATAATTAATAAAATTTATCATATTTTATTTATAATACTTAAAAAAAAAATCAAACCAAAACCCCTAAAATACGAGTATACGACCATAATCACAATTACCACAATTACCTTTATAGCCACGGCACTTGTCTCAAAACGCACCCTCGGTTGTTACGACAAACAAAATATCGTCAGACAACCATAATTCCCTCGCTGACACGGTGTCCGAAAGCCTCCACGTTCTCGCCACGTTTTTAATGTGAAAATAAGTTAAAACCTTATATTGTTTGTCCTAACAAATTAAATGATGTTATTGTTTTTTGGAAAAAATAATGATATTATTGTTATATTTTATGGTCTGACTAAACATCATCGACAATAAAAAAAAAAAGTACGCATATGCTTAAAAGGAGTATGTTAAAGGAGGATATATTGAAATTTAAATGTTAAAAATGATAATAAAAAATTAAAATATTTT